ACGTACCGCTCCGGATGGACCGACGAAGAAACTCGTTTGGTATAGATCAGCCATGCCGCCCACAAGAAGGGCCTTGAGAGTTTGTGGTGTCTGCAGCAGACGGCTGACAGATGGAAGCTATTCAAACTTCACAACCTGATCAGTAGGACAAGGAGGAAGGACAATACCTCATCTCCCGCTCGCCATTGCGCAAGATACACCTGCTTTCCATCAATTTTACCATCCCTCGTGTTTCCCTCTAACCAGTCTAAATATTGTCCTACGCGCATTGTGATGCGATCGAAAGCCCCTACCCGGTCGTATCGACCGTACTCGACATCGACTAACCGGTCGGTGCCTTCGCGCAAAGCGTCCATAAGAGCATTTGCTCGTGACAATGAGCCTGAGGAGGAAGAGTGTGATGGGGACTCTGATACATTGTGCGCTTTGGGAGAGCGAATGACGATTGGATGCTCGTAATCATTTGGCATGGCAGAAAAGCCAGCTTGGCTTTCGGGGACAGGTTGGGTTTGGATCAGTCTATTCGTAGTGCCAGTGGATGTATGAATATAGGACTGATGTACGCTGTACCCAGTTTTGTTGAGAGCTGAAGTAACTGGACGCTTTGCCACATGGAGAAACCCATTCAGAGTAGAAGTAGTGAGACTCATCGTAAACACCAGCTGGTCCGCACAAAGCGCGACGCGCCGCCACGTCGGTGCACAGCGCATCACACGTGCTGGGAATATACGACTATTTTTGTAATACCGATCCATCTCTCCTCTTCCTCACCTCCAAGCTTGTCCTCTCGAGCTCCGAGTCCTTTCAGTTTTTTCAGTTAACAAGTTCGTGATATCCACCCTGACCCACCAGCAATAGATGTTGGTCCTTGAGAAGGGTCGGACTGCCTTCCGTATACAATTACCATCTTCCATTTGATGCCCAACCCAAATTGGGCTTTAACAATAACGATGGACAAGCGAGACTCACTATCAGGTGGGTTCATTGGAACCCAGTGCTTCTAGTAAAGCCCATATGTGATACAAGCTATGTGCTCTTTTGTTATCTCGAAGTCAATTATGGCAAGTACGTCAGGGATGCTCCGTGGGCTGTCGTCAACGATGGTCTGAGTCTCGTTCTATTGTTTCGGGATGCATACATATGCGAGTGGGTCTCCGCCAATCGACAGGCTTCCCCCTCTCTTCTATCCCCTAGATCCTCTCCTGTTGCTCTGGTTTTCTTTTCGTGGCAGGGTACGAGAGGTTGCGATTCATACTCATACTCCTTCGAATTCCGTCGCCCCTTGTAACCCTCCTCAAGATGATGCCCCATCCTATGATCACATTTCCTCGTCCCCCTCCGACGAGCAACATCCTAACGACATCAGAACGCTCGAAACTTATCCGGTCCGCAGCTAAGCTAGGACAGCTGTTGGGCACAACCCCTCGTATCGTTGACGACTCATATGAAGGTACGCACACTCATTCGATTAAACAGCATGAGACATGTCCCTGACGATGGTCATGAAACCAATTATAGTCCCGATCCGCATCGATCTCTCTCCTCTTTCATCAAAGCAGCGAGGAAAACCTCGTCGTGGCGCAGGCGTTTCTGACGAAAACCATAGCGACTGGCAGAGTCGCCGGATGAATAGTCTCGATACCGTTTCGTCCGAGTCGTCCTCATCTTCCTCGAGCACATCATCACACTCTTCTCATTCGTCTTCGTCTTCGTACGATTCCAAGTACGAAGAGTCGTGGAGAGTCCGCCATGAAGTGCGCCGTCCACCTTTGCTGAAGTTGGCTACACCCATGCCATCTCGTCGGCCACGCGCGGGTACGAAGCCGGATTTGGAGACCATTCCAGGTTCACCACCGTATGCTGCCACCCCGTCGTCCCCTATACGGGACACCGAGACCGCGCCGCCGCCACGCTTCATCGTTCCCTCCGAAGCCTCAATCAGAAGGGAGAAGATGCGAAGGCTGACAAAGAAGCTCGGAGAGGGTGTACCCGTCCATCTTGTCTTCCCTCCCATTGCAGAGTCGACCGAGTCGGATGAAGATGAGATTCTCATTCATTCACCGACGACTCCTCATACACCGGATTCGCCCGCGAGTACATATTCTGGTACCGCTAGCGACAGTGCACGCTCGACTAAGACTCTCTTATCCTCATCTGAGGAATTGTACTCTCCAAGAAGGTCGAATTCGTATCTCAGGCATGAAGCTTCCCATCAACCTCCTCGAAAATCATCCTTTGCCAAACCGCTCCCTGCAATCCCGGCTACGATTGTAGAGGGAAAACGGTTGGTTGTACATTACCATGGTTTGGACGAACATGGGCTTGACTCGGAGACCTTCGAAGGATTGGCTTGTGCCGGTGTTGCTCCTTCCAGAGCAAAGTCGTCGCGAGTCGTGGTCAGGAAGCCTGTCCCATTGTCATGATGTTGCGTCATCGTACGACAGGATGTTTCCGGGTTACGAACTGGCTTCGTCGCCCACTCATGTTAGTCATTAATATTGCTACGCCCTTCACCCCGATTCTCTTGCTCTTCATGGGGCTTGTATCTTCTACCATTGTGCCTTGATCCCGATTCCTTTGGTTTCTTGCCACTTCAATGCTTGTATCAATACACTCAACCATTAGTTTCAGATTGTACACGGGCTGCTTCGCGTTTATATTTGGTATACATCTTGCATTTCCTGAATCCTCCCCTGTCCAATGCCAGCCGGATGCACTCAAGTGATCCTAACACTCCAGACCAGCATGCGGGCTCGCTGGCGAGTATTAACAACATGCTTAGCAAAGCCTTCGTTCAAGAAGGCATCAACAACTATCTTCTCCGCGAACTCCGGGGACTCCAATTCTGTGAAGACTTGCTTCCAAAGGATGGGCCAAGACACCGGTGAGTGACCGTACCGATCCCTATACAATGGCAACGTCAACAATTACTGCGCATATCTCCGATGAGAACAGATGGTCTGACCTGCCAAGATGGTCGTCGATATAACCTGCTTCCTCTAACCCTTGGTGTCGTCCAAATATAATCGTCCCAGGCTTACGCTTCACAAGCGTCGCCACTCTCTTCGCGAGCTCATACTGCGTCGACTCGTCAAAGAGATGAAACAACGCCCCAGCATAGAAATAATCTATCTGACCCGTCAACTGCGTCAACTTTATCACCTTGTCCAGGTCTATCGCTTCTGGTTCACTCGGGGATGAGACAGGAACGTCGAATATGTCGGAAGTGAGAAAGTGTATCTGAGAGGTATTTTTATCCTTGTAGAGTTCGTAGCCCAAGTCTATGAACTCCTGGCGGAGGTCACAGCCTATGACATTCCTAGCCGGATAACCGTCCGCAACGAGTTTGCGGACGTCCGTTCCCACTGACCGCATGGTGTGTGAGTGGGGCCTTGACACGTTATCTTCGGTACTTACTGCAACATCCAAGGTCTAGGAAGATAGTTTGTCCAGTCCTTCCTGCCTCGAGTACCTTCGGGTACACAGGGTTGGCGGACATCATCAGGTTCACAAAATGGAATGCCCGAATGCAGGGATAGGCATGTTTCGCACTAAATCATTCCATAATCAAATTTGAATCTTGAAACGTCCCCTCTATAATTGCCGGTGGAGGACAAGACGTACTATGCGCTGTGTATTCGTCTAGTCAGGAATGTCTTCAACGAGCGGAGCAAAGCTGACTCACAGTTTCTGCACCTCCAGGATTCTTCGACGGAGCTCTGTATCATCTTCAGTGATTGCAGAGTGCAAGAATGCCTTCTCTTGATCTGTCAATGTCAGCAAAGACTCATCTAGGGGAGGAATCACAGAAGGGTCGAGCACAATTTCCTTGTTTATGGCCATTGCACTGGCAGTAGATAAAGAATGGGGGCACAGAGGACCCCCGAAAATACCCTCAGATGCCGTTCCTAAAACCGAGAAAACCTGCCAAATTTGGACGTCATGCTAGGTCATTTGGCCGAGATTTTACCCCTAACTTAGGGTTTACCCTAGGTTCAATTGGCCGAGACAAATGGGTGAGGGTCGGGATGCTAGTTCATTTGACCGAGATGATCCCAAGCTTGGTTTGGTCTCCGGCACAATTGCCTACCTTCTCGCCGTGTTGGCACACATTTATGGCCAGAATAACGTCGCAACAGTAGAATTCAATGGCTGGGGAGCAAGAAAAGCAAGGAAAAGCGAAAAATAGCTGGGAAATCGAAAAAATGCACCTTTAAATGCTAGTTCATATGGCCGAGACTTTTCGGCCTCCGGCCGGAGGCCTGGTCAAAATACCGAGATTTTTGGGCGTCTGTGAGGCCGAGATTTTCGTCGAAATCTGGGAACGGCATTTGAAGGGATTTTCGGGGGTCCTGGGCACAGATATGATATCTCCGAGGACCATATTTATATGTCCCCTGCAACCCGTGAATAGTAGTGATACCATCCAGGACCCAGATGGTGGAATTGCTGTGGGACATCCAGGCACATTTTATATCCAAAGAAGTAAAAGTAAAAATACATTAGAAGATGATGTGCGGAAGATTCAAGTACTTACCGGTATCGCATACACAGTCTTCTCAATTCCTTGCACTGTTGGGACCAGGCTCCTACCCACCCTACCTTGCGTCTTGCTTGAGTCTCGAGGGTAAGAGTAAATATTGATTATTGAGTCTGAACATATGATGAGTTTCTGAAACATACCGCTTTGGACGTATTATATAAGGATTGATTTGACATACCATATATAACTTGAATCTGAACCTTAATTTTGAAGCAAGACGCAAAGGTTCAGAATTCAACTCTTTCGGGCAAGTGAGATCAAATATTATATAATGTTGCTAAAAGCGGTATGTTTTCGTCTCATAAGTTCAGAGCATCAATATAGTCAAACTCATACCCTTCCCTCGAGATTTAAGCAACACGCAAGGTAGGGTGGATAGGAGCCTGTGTTGGGACGATCAGTACCGTGCTACGTATCCCTGTACTGATGCAAAAAGCATGAGTCACTTCACTAGTACTCCTCCGGGCCGGGATCGAACCAGCGACATTCAGATGATGGCTCGTATCCAGTTACAGTCTGACGCTCTTCCAACTGAGCTACCGAAGGATGCCTTTCTTTCGACGGTGAAATAACAAGTAGGACACGCAGCTTGGTGCCTCGGTGGACGCGTCGCGGAAACGTCGAGGGCATGCCGCTATCCAACCTACGTATTTCAATGTCCAAAATGCTGATGCCTGCGCTGAATCTCGAACTTGGAGCTGGTGGCCTTCATCGAGGTATTGTCGGACGAACGATCCAGCATCAGCGACTTCTGGAGCTATAAATTGTCACCCCCGTTATAAATAGAACCAGACCTGAAAGTACGTGGAGTACTGACCACTACTGCCATCACCACTGTATCATCGGGTGTCCCAACGCTGTATAGGTCGGACCATAGTCACGAGAACAGAACTACCTCAGGTCGGACCGTCAGGTCCTGATGCAGGTGATCATACTATCTCGGACCCCCCTCAAGCGCAACACCGAGTTGTGCACACCTATGAATGCTCAGCGCGAAGCATATAACTGTGCCGTACATACCATGAGTACGGATGATACACAAACCAGACAATAGGCATGCGTGTCTGACATTTAGACGAACAGAGCATGAGTGCTGAGAAGCCTGAGGTGGCCCGTCCTAACGGTTAACCTGTTCGAGTCCCAGCTTTCAAAGCTCGACAATCCGAGTCCAAGGGTTTCAGTAGAACTCCGCAAAAGATGATGATTAGTCTGGACCGACCTGTTGTGGTATTATTTGCGCAACGACATTGGATAATTCCGCCGCTTCCCCGGTGTTCCTCGAAGAGAGCAATAGACCCCAAAGCAATAGAGATACAGTTGATAAGAGACAAAGTCTCTCAGGTGGACCGACGGAACGATGTGATACAGCTACGTCAGAGTTGTGCAATGGTATTGTGCTTCTGCTATCCTGGGTCTGTAAATGCGGTATTTCGTCACAGTTTGCTCTACTTGTAGGGGCGCCCAGCTTTTCTTAGAACATGGACGTTAATAGGTTGCAGTTTTACGAAAACTGAAGCACAGCTGACACAATCAGCGGGGTCGCAGGAGTGCAAATTCCAGCCTGTACCAGCCAGTTCGGCCCAAGTTTACTTGCTAGAGCTTTCGACGATCCCGAGCTGACAAATAACTCCTTTTCGGTGTTCGTTCGTCCGATGCGTCATGAGTCTGTAAGATGCAGCCAGTCTGACAAGTCACGAAAGAGATCCCCCAAGGGCGTAGGAGACATAGATGGAGAGAGTTGGTGGCGCGATCCAGGCAGTGTTGGTGTCGAGGGACTCGAGGCACGGTGGTCCTGGCACACGACCGACTCGGCCCAAAATGGAAATAAACCGACGTATTAGCCGCCGAGGTACGGAGGCGTCGATCACGATCGAGGTCGACTTTGCGAAATTGCGAATTTACGACAGCGATAAATTGTTGTGACGAGGAACAACAACAGTGATGAAGGTGATGAGTGCCCTTGAGTGCCTCACAGGTAATTCGAGGAGGGCATTCAGTAGTTCCCCAGTCTGCTGGCCCTTGCTGGTCTGTCAGTCGACGTCAAGGTTGGTATTTTTGCATCGGAGTCGGCCGGCATCAACTGACCCCGACCGGTTCCCGATCTAGTCTCCTCCACAGACCATCACAGAGAAGATAGTCGTTCTCTGTTGTAAGTTCCCGATCTCCTTTCGAAATTCGCAACAGACTGAGTCCACTGACGCAGACGACGTTGAATGCTCAGAAGATGGTATGCATGGTGTCGCGTGCCGTAAAAGCAGCCAGAAGCCTTCGCGAGTCGCCTGTTGGTGTTGGCAACAGATGACATTGCGACAGAACGAAGCGAAATGATCAAGGAGGATCGGAAAGGAAAAGTAGGCGGGAGGCGCCGGGTAAAGTCTGTGGAGAGGAGGGAGAATGGTTTGCAGAACTTTCCTGTGGCCTCTGCAGCCATATGCCCCTCCATCAAATCCTCCGCCCCCCGGTGCAAAATCAATTCTCCCATGTGTTCTGCAGGGTTTGTATATATACTCCTCCCCGGCCAGTTTTCGCGTCCCCCCTTCAGGTCATATTCCCTTCCGCCTCCCTCCTTTTCGTCCGTGTGCCAGGCCCAGCCGCACTGACAGCAGCAATTTCCTCGCTTTCCCCCCACCGCGTAGCGAGCAAAGATGGCCGCACTGCAACCCGACGACGAGTTTCAAGGCTACATGGAGCCTAAACGGGCATTCGGGAAGGATAACGGCTCAGACAACGTCGTTTCTTCATCGAGCGACCACCAATTGGACGGTATCCATGACGGGTTGGTGTTCCCCACCGGTATGTATTCTTCGCGAATTCTGCTCTCATGGAGTTTTCTCACATACCTTCTGCAGAGGAGGAACTGTCCACCCTCCGCCGAGTCGCGGACAGCATCCCATGGAACGCATACTGTACGCACCATACCTGCCGTGTACTCTAGCAGTGTGATTGATTCGTTTGTTCCCAGTGATTGCGTTCGTTGAAGCCGCCGAGCGTTTCTCGTACTATGGCTCGCAGGTCGTCTACGTGAGTATCAACTCTCGCGTCCACTTCCCTCCAGTTCTCTCCCTGAAATTCAGGGTTAAGTAATGAAACAAAGTGCTCAATCAACATGAGCGGCCGCCGCCCTACTCTGTTGGTTCGACATGCCAGATCTCCGTCATGGAGGTAAATCTGCACGATATCCACATTGCAACACCGAGATTGCAGAGAAGTGATGCAAAGCACATGCAGAGATCCCCGCAAAGCCCTTCCTTTGATGCAATCTCAGCCACTTGACATCGTATCTGAATTGACGCTGATGGATTGCTCTGCTAGACGAACTTTATCCAACAACCACTCCCGCCTGGCTCGCGGACGGGTGCTGCTGGCAAGAATGGTCAGCCTGGTGCCCTCGGTATGGGCCAGCGGGCTTCCACTGGTCTTGGTACTTTCAACCAGTTCTGGTACGTGAAAACGCGCCCGATTAAATCTCGACGGTTCTCTGACAGCTCCTGCTCTTTCTTCGAACTTAGGGTCTATGTCATCCCTCTGTTCGGTGCCTACATTGCCGATACGCGGTGGGGTCGTTTCAAGACCATCTGTGTATCGGTCGGCGTCGCTCTCCTCGGACACGTACTGCTCGTCGTCTCCTCCGTCCCCGGTGTAATTGAACACACAAATGGTGCATTGGCTTGCTTCGTTATTGCACTCATTGTTATGGGTATGGGTACCGGAGGTTTCAAAGCAAACATTTCTCCTCTTGTCGCTGAACAATACAAGCGGCACAAATTGTTTGTCTCGACCACGGATACCGGCGAGCGTGTCGTAGTCGACCCCCAACTTACCACCACTCGTATTTACATGGTAGGTGAATAGCTTACCGTAGCGTTCTTCCATGCTGACAGTGATCTCCAGTATTTCTATTTGTTCATCAACGTCGGATCCCTCATTGGACAGATTTCCATGACCTACTCCGAGAAATACGTCGGTTTCTACCTCGCCTACGCTCTCCCAACTGCGGTCTTCCTCCTCTGCCCTCTCGTCTTGTTTCTTGGCCGCAACAAGTACGCTCGATCCCCTCCTTCCGGCTCTGTCCTTGCCAACGCATTCCGTGTCTGGCGTCTGGCTCAGAAGGGCCGATGGTCTTGGAACCCTATTCGGACGTACCGCAACTTGTCCGCACCTGACTTCTGGGAAAGCGCGAAGCCGAGTCGTTTCCATGGAGAGTCGAAGCCCAAGTGGATGACTTTCGACGACAAGTGGGTTGATGAAGTCTCGCGAGGATTCAAAGCTTGCTCAGTTTTCATGTGGTATCCTCTCTACTGTACGTGCTGGAGTTCACCCCCAGTGTTTGAATGAGATTACTGATAACCAGGTGAATAGGGCTTACGTACAACCAATTGAACAACAATCTCACCTCGCAAGCAGCGACGATGGTCACAAACGGTGTTCCGAACGACGTCTTGTCCAACCTCGATCCCTTCGCGCTCATCATCTTCATCCCCATTTGCGACGTGTTCGTCTACCCCCTCCTCCGTCGTATGGGCATCAACTTCACCCCGATCAAGAAGATCACATTCGGCTTCCTCACCGGTGCGGCAGCCATGGTCTGGACAGCCGTCGTTCAACACTACATCTACAAACGTAACCCCTGCGGATACTACGTCGGTACCTGCAAGGACGCAGACGGGAACCCAGTCACGAGTGACTTGAACGTCTGGATCCAAACTGGCTCATACGTCCTCATCGCCTTCTCCGAGATCTTCGCTTCTATCACTGGTCTCGAATATGCGTTCACGAAGGCGCCCAAGAACATGCGTTCGCTCGTCATGGCCGTCTTCTTCTTCATGTCCGCCTTCGCATCCGCCATCGGTGAAGCCTTTGTCTCCCTCTCCTCTGACCCCCTCCTCGTCTGGAACTACGGCGTCATGGGCGTCCTCGCCGGTGTTGCCGGTATCATCTTCTGGTTCCAGTACCGTCATCTGGACGAAATGGAAGACGAACTCAATAATATGGATGACGGCCATTATGACGATGGCGAGCATGAAGACGACGACGAGCATGAACGCGAACATGAACATGAACATTACGACCAGCGCCACTATGAACAGAATTACAACCAGTTTGATCGGGAGAAACCTGTTTACGCGCAATAAATGCGCATAACTTCCTGGGTCTCCTCCCTCCCGTCCTCCTCTCCCTCCCCTTCCGCTGGTGTCATTTATGGATCTATTATTGCCGGCCTTTTTACCTCATTGTTGTGAGAGTAGTATGTTGTTCTATCTTATTCTTGGTCCTGAGGCGTGCACATCTTCCTCCACCCCCGTCCACTCATCGCATGCTTGCTAATTTGCTGTTGTGTCTGGACCCATCTCACATCTATCCCGTCAACATTCCCTCCCTCATCCATCTGACGAAGTCTTGTTTACTTTACATTCGTCAACTGAAGCCGATGTCGTTCCTAGACGTTGTATTACTAACGGTTCTCCTTTCTCCAAACTCAGCTAACGGGTTTTCTTCGTTGTTGGCTTTTTCGCTTTTCGTAATAATAGCAAACAAAGTACTCTTTC